AATTCAATGGAAACGTCAGCTCTGCTCATATCATTGTGGGAAAATTCTACTACCAGTCCTTCATCACCTTGAACGAAATGGGGTGAATACATTTCATATAACTGATTTACTGGTAGTCTCAAAACTATACTTATATACGTAAAATAATCAAAACAATTATACCTTTAGTTCTTCCCTACGTTTGTCACTTATGCATGGATATAGTGTTACAGGCGTTGCCAAAATATACTGGTTAATATTAATTTAAGCAAAATGGGATATACCTTAAGTATGCTGATTAATCGGGTTCGAAGTCTGATAAACCGTCAGTGTTTTGCTATGGTATAGTGAATTTCTTTTTTTTCTAATCAGGACTTATGCGATAATGCTATTAGGGCTAACATTTCTATCTTTGGTTCCTATGCCTCTGAGACTTCTTCGTTTAAGTTGTTATGGAATAAATGAATTCTATTAAGTTCTACAAGTGCTCGGCATAACTAATTTGTACTATTTCTCTTTGACCATTTACAGTACCTGCTGGTCTTATAGTTTATTTTGAGGATTTTCCCAAGGCATCGTTTTTATTGAATGTATTTAGAATCTCATTTGCAAAATATTAAAGTATTTCACATATAATGCTTTATAAATGGATAATGACTACATTTATTTCTAATACACAAAGTTAACAGATCATTTATTAATATACAGAGAGCTATTTAAATTCTAGGATTTAAGTTTTATAACTGAGTATTGTATGGTTACCCACATAACTATTGCTGGCCCATTACGAAGGCAACAATGAGCGAATTTCCGCGATTCTTTTACTTCCTTCATGACTTATGGATATTTTATTCATAAAGACTATTGATGTAGCTCAACACATGTAAAATTTCCATTTATAACCCAGGTCTAAGTCGACTGCTCAGGACAATCCTTCCCCAGCCATAGGACCTCAATCTCTTCCAGTTTACGGCTCAGTGCAACGTTTACCTAGTTGGCTGGACCTACCGTTAGCACGGGCCATCCAGCTAAGGTGGGCTGAAATCGATGTTGCTCGGCTTGTCGATGCCCAGCTGGACAGAGAGGCTGCGGCCCGACTTACAGAAACGGATTCAGTTGAGGCTGAAGAGATGCGAGAGCCGCACAAAGACTCCATACTCGAGGATAATCAAAATGGAATTCAGCAAAGCGATGATGAGGAGGGAGACGATGCCACTACAAATACAACTACTACGACAGGCACTTCAATCAAAACTGCTAGGTCTGAAACCGACGCTGCCTCAAATTCCTCACCGTTAGATATGAAAAACCAAGGTATCTACCAGGATTCAAGCGAAGCTACAAGTGGTGCCGAATCTGAAAACCAAAATGGGCTGGATCGCCGTGGCTATAGACCTAATCGCGGAAGAAAGCAACGAAGTCGCCAGAGGCGCTTTAATAATAAGGTTTCCAGGAAGGAGACCAAGGTTGCAGGCAGACGAGGGGCTTCTGCCAGAGTGTCCTCCAGTGGGCCGATTGCTGCGAGAACCCATCAGCTGGTTGGCCGAAGTGGTGCAGGAGCTAGAAAGCGGTCGAAAAAAGGCACAAATACAATAGGCGATGGTTCAGCAGAAGCAAGGAATATATTACTGGCGACAAGAAGACTGCCTCCTAAGCTTTCACCAGCTGATTTAACTATAGTAGGAAAGATCCTTAAGGAGGAGCCGATCCTAAATCAGATACCCTCGCATGTGGCCAGAATGAGTAAATATCTCTCCCTACAATTAGGCCGCACTTGTAAGTATTCTCTGTATGGTAGTCGTCTTCTGATTCCAACTTTAATCTTGCTATCCGCAGAATTTATATTTTTCCTCCTTAACGAAGACCCAGCAAATTTATGTGATGGATATTCTAGGATGGTTTAATATTTTATTTTAACTTAGGGTCATGATGCTATTTAATTTGGGTTCAAATATTTAAACTACCTGCTTTCTGTTCTTAATCTTTTTCAGGATTTATCTAAATTTTTAAAATTTTCGTTAATTCTTGTGAGCTCTTCAGTTATTCGGTAACTAAACTTAAAGCCGTCCTTTTTTTGCGCCCCTTCCATAATGTTTCTATGATAACTTAAAGGGGTAGCATAAAAATCTCTATTCTAGAGTTGGTCACCTAGATATCAATTCTTCTTAAGCCCGTGGCTTTTTTGTGCGGCTAAAACAGAGTATCTATTACTTGTCATGAATTTTTCATGCACTGCATATCTTCACTTTTAAATTAGACTTCCTCATTCCAGCTTCTGCTCTCGCTAAGCCCGGCACTTATCGCGGGGCCGCCACAGTTAAAACTAATGGCAAGCGTGGTGGTCGTCGTGGAGGGAAGAGGTCTTTAGCTAACGGGGCATCAGGAGCTATGGATGCTGGGGAAGAAACAGATCAGGGCGAAGAAGAAGAAGAAGAAGGTGACGAAGAAGAGGCCGACGAAGCAGAATGTGAAGGAGAAGAGGCAGATGCTGAAGAGGAAGGAGATGTAGATGTAGAAGAGAGAGAAGACCGCGGTGAAGAAGACAGTAAGAACGAAAAAAATAGAAGCGTGGCAACAATGGTTTTCAATGAAACTACTTTAGCTATCAATGCAGACGTTATTAAACCTGAGCATTCAGTCTCACATGAAAAATTATACTCTAAAGTAAGCCTTATTCCTTTCTTTATTAGTAACAAGCTCAACTATGCCGAAAATTTGGTTTTCGAAGAATCCCTTAATAGACTGATGTTGGAGTACCTTTCATTTCGTTTGAAGGGGCAAATGAAAGGGATTCGCAAGTTGGCCTCACCTGAAACTAGGAGGATTGCCTTGGAGCTGTGATTGTAGACTTGTTCGAATAGGTCCTCTGCGCACCGGCCTGCGACTATATGAATCCTTGTTGAGCTTTCGTCCTTCATGTGACGGACATTGTCGGAATAGGAAACTATGCTTTACAATAATTCACCAAACACAAAGACACGAAAGCGGCCGGCGGAACAACACAGTACCAAAGTCCGAATATCCTGAAAGTATATATACTGGAAAGGAGTCAATAAGTTTGATTAATTTAGTGATGAACTGTATATATTTTAGAGGTTGTTTGACCTTGTTTTCGCAACTTGGTCATATTGGTAGGAAGACATAGAGGAAAGCATCTAGTCTGAAGTCCATTGTATGCATGATCATTTCCAGTAGTACCGTGGACGTGGTACATTCCCAGACATTTCGTTGGCATGGTCAGTGACTTTTGCCAGTCTTAACACCACACTACAATGTGTCATGGATACATGTGAAGCCGATCATTTGACCATTCGTGTGCTAAATAGTTGTATCTCTCCTGCCCTGAGCTATTCACATTTCCCATATTTTCCTATCACGCCTTCACTGTTACAATTTTTACCGGGCTTATTTAGCTGTACTGTGGTGTGCTCCTTTGAGTGGCATTCATGAAAACCCCCCCACACTCCACACTGGTGTTCTCACCCCCCCTTCACCCTTGTGCTGGGAATGTTGATCATAGTCTGCCATATTGTTACACAGTCCTCCTTCCCTAGGTCAATAGTAAACTGCGAGCAAACACGAGATTTGGCTATGGTATCATGTATATCCCCAATTTTGGCAAATAACTAAAGGCTCAAATAGTAAGCCGCCTATAAGGAGAAGCACTTTTACTTTCTAAATTATTAGTTAGGTGCAAGGATGAATACTTTACCGTATGGCAATATGGCAGACAAAGCCTATAAGAATTCCTAACGTTGATGAATGGAATCGATAGGAATATCAAGCTTGCCATGGAATTAGAAAATGATAATAGTTAATCGAAGGTATAAAGACCAAGATGGTGTAGCCTTTTTTCTAGATGTCCTAGTTAGCAAGGAGCTAAACAACCTGGGTGGGAATGTATAAAATAAACCTACAAAT